TCAGATTGAGCCAAATTATGCCTTTTAATGAAATTGTGCAATGCTGTAATAAACATAGCATGGTAGTAGCGTTAGCCGCCTGTGTGTTGGATATTATGTTGTTGTAGTGGGTGTTTACTACCATGCTGATTTTACAATGATGCAATCAACTTTTAGCTACTTTCATTTGATAGTTTATTATATTTATTTATTCCCAGAAAGTATGACCTGTGCTAGTTTGTAGTGAGGCCAATATAGACAAAACATTTTATCATTTTATGATATTTTGTGATAATAAAATGCATAAAAAAATAAGTATTCCCATTTTGAAATAGATTTTCTTTAGCAAACTGGTATCTTGAACAAGCCTTTTTTTTTAACTGCATACAGTAGCAACTGCACACTGCAAATGCATTTTATTATATTTAATATTTTATTGAGTTATTATTTTTCCCAAGGAAATGGTAGATAAATTTGTTTTCTTTCCATTATGGGAGTTTTCAGATTACATTCATGAGAATTTATTATAAATCAAAATTCTTATCTGAATACAATTTTTTCAAGATAATCACAAAATAAATTTTCATTTGTAAGAGTATATGTTGCCAAATAACATTTGGTAAGTGTAAAATAAAGAACATTTTTTGTTCTAATAGTAATTTCTTGAAGTGTTTTGATAATAACCAAAACAACAAAGCTGCAAGTGACATTTATTCACTCAAGTTATTTGAATAATGTTCCATTTAACACGTCGCAGTGATTCTTCGAGTGAAAACATCAAAGTAATTTTCAACAGAGTACCACCTTTCAATACATGGATCTGTCAAGACTTAGCACATTAAGAAAAATCAAAAAGGTGAGCAAACTGCCAGCTCGATTTGTTCATTTCAGGAGCTACATGAGGTAGATTAGAGAGGCGTTTGTGTTTTATCCTTGTCCTGAAACCAGGGCCTTTTCAAGTCAACACCTTCAATAAAATGAGAAACCTCACAAAAAGAACAGTAACCCATCTGCACACTGATGAGAAAGAGGGCAAACTTGCATCTAATCAACACCTAAAGAAGAATTGCACTGTTCAAACATAAAACTGATCTTTCCATCAGCGCGTCAAAATAAATGGGAAAATGTGACGATGATGGACATGGAGATGGTTGACGGACAATGGCCTTGTTTTCTCAGTGCACGCAGGTAGAGAAAGACAAGCCCTCTCCTGTGTCACTCACTGTTCTTCAGCCCTGGGGGAGGGAGGGAGTGAGTGAGTGGGAAATGAGGCCCTTACTGGAAAACTGAACCTACCTATTTACTGGCAGAGGACTGGTGATGTAAATGGGAGGGGAAGAACAGAAAAAGAGGCCAGTAAGGAAAAAAAAAAAACAAAAAACAAATTAGTAAACTGGTAATCCAAACTGTCCTTTGTTGTTGCAAGTTGACTCATCGTTGTACAAACAGAAGTTCAAGTTTATCCACTTACTCTTTTACCAGATTTTTAACCTCAATGAACTGGGTCTTAGAAAAAGTCAATAAAACGTAGAAAAATAAACTCTGTAAAAATACTAGTGTTTTTGTTTTCCCCAAGTTGCGTTTTCAATACAGCTTGGAGACTAGTCATTTTAAATATTACACCGTATTATTTAAAATGATATTTATAGTGCTTGATAGAAAAGAAAGATTAAACTTAAAGATTGTGTAAACTTGGTGCTTATTGGCGAGTTAACTGGGAATATTTTTACAATTTGTAAAATAATAAAAAATCTGTAGACCCAGGCTGCCTACCAGTAGGGAGCGACAGCCAAAACATCAAACTGAAAATCCAAAGTAACTTTCAGACCAGGTCACATTACCATTTCTAAATGGTGGAGTCGATTGCAATGGGACATTCTGGACCTACCAGGTGTAAATTCATATCCACCGTGGGAATTATCCAAATCCATTTTGAAAGCCAATTATTACTTGTATAGACATGAGGCTATCAATCAACAGGCAGAATAATTTGATCAGAGAACAGAGATCATTAAGAAGGGGCAAAAAAATGGCAAAGTGTGAATGGATCTGGAACCAAACATATCTAAGAAGTATTCCAAACAATTTTTCAAACATTTACACTTTCTTGAGAATCAAAATTTGAGAAAACTTAATGACGACAGGACACAGCTGGGTCTACACAAGCGTGAAGCGCTAGTCAACAACAGAGTCGAGCAGATTTTAACAGAATCATCAATCCTCATGCTGACATAATAAACACAGAATTTGTTCAAACCTGCTCCTGGCCTGATTCAGGACAGAATGTAGAGGGATGACGCTGACCCATCGCCGTTACTCACTTTGAGCCACGAAGGAATGCGTTCAGAGCCGAAACAGCAAGAAGATTAGGTGGGCAGTGCAACTGAGGCTAATTGCAGTGGCCATCGGGTGCAATGGGTCACCCGACTGTACCTCCACACTGGATTCATGTGACATGGTCAGCTTAAGTGGTTGATTAATGAGTAAACCGTCTAGCAAAATAGGTTCTTAAGACGTTGGCATGGTTTCTATTTGTATGTAGTAAAGCCATTTTGGGTTAGTTGCACCACAGAGTTTCAAGCTTCATTATAGATGGCCATTATGAACTAGATTGCAAGCTGTCTATTTAAAAGAAAGCAAAACAAAATTAAAATGTAACTGGTAGTTGAAGTAATCTCTGCTACTACAGTTTAAAAAGGAGGTTTCGTCATTGTGCATACAACATTGAATCTCAGGCTTCACACAGGCAATACTTAAATGGTACCATTTCTGCACTTCAAAAGCCCTGAGATCCAACAATGTTAAGATTATTCTGGATTGGACATTGTTTTCATTTCTACCCCGGGAGGTGACCCAAGCCTTCTACGGTACGTTGATAAAATCAAACGTTTTCTTGGCTCGGTTTCAATTATTTCTCCTTTTTTGCCACAAGTCGAGTCCTTCCCTTTAATAGGGCTTGGAACTGTCACAAAAACAACAATCATTTTCGCCGTACAGTTTCAAATTGACAAAATTTACAAGCTCTAGTAAAGGACAACCCAGAGATAAAAGAGAAAGTTCAACAGAAAAGGTTGGAAACACTTCATCAATCAAAACTGCGTTAGCCGTCCCCTGACCCAATGGTTCAATGTAATCTCTAAAGTGCTGCCTCCCTGTTAGGGCTCTTATGAGGCTTCTGGGGAGAGGGAGAAGAGATGGGGGCAATAGAGCAAGTTTTCATGATGCCAAACCTTCCTGAACCTACTTAAGTCATACAGCACATGTAACTTCATGGTGGGCTGCACTAGTAGATTTTGTGAGTTCCTGTTAACAATGAATGGCATCCTGCTGGGTCGGCAGAGTTTAATTGCAGAACCAGGCAGTGAGAGACATATGCCGCCGTAACTTAATAGATTGTAATCACAGTCTGTTATTGGCAATGTAAAATATGTTAACACAGCGTTGACTTTTTCCATCAGATTAACTGACTTAATTGGGTGTACATACATCATAAATCTATGCCATCAAATCAGGGGTCCTTCACATTTTTCATGTCAAAATCACCCACTTTTCCCAACCAGACATCTTTTAACCAGATGGAATTAAAAAAAACTTAATTAGAAGTTTAAAAAATGATTTTTCTGCAAATAAATGCAAAGACAGATAGATAGATTAGATTAGATAGATAGATACAAGTATGGATGGGTGTTATGAGAGATACAACTGGCGGTGCACCGATTCCAGTATTCTGGCCGTTCACGGATTTTTAAGAACCCTGCCCTGCTGGTTCCAATTCTGAATTGAACTTTTTTTTTTTGTCTAAAAAGTTGCTAAACATAGCGACAACGTTTATTAACCACGCACATCCATATCTCCTCTCCCAGATGGATAGATGAATAAAAAAATGGAAGATTTACCGATGGATACCAATGGATATAACATTTAGACAATGAAATAAGGATAAAAGTATGAAAATACTTTTTTTGCGCTCCGTTGTCTATAATTAAGCTGCATATAATGTACCATGAGGGTCTGATAACTGTGTAGAAAAACAGTTGGAATCCATATTGTTGTGATGCTAATACAATGTGTTTTAGCATTTAATATTGATCCCCATTTTGTGCTATCAAACACCAAAGTCCAAGTTGTACAACAGTATTTCTGCCACTAGTGCAATCAGATGCAAACTTTCAATGCTGCAGCTGTGGCTAGCTCTCCTATTCTTGGCAGCCATGTTGGATATTGAACTTCAGGTTGTTTGGAAAGCTCAAAGTTGGAATTCAGAAACCATAACACAATGTTGCAGTTATTTCAATCAGGAAGTCAGAAACTCAGATTTTTAAGTAGAAATAGACCTTAAAACAATAGGAATCAAATAACCTACTTTCTTATTCTGCAAAAGAACCACTTAACATAAAAGGATCATCATGTTCTCGAGAATCCCAACCCCTTCTTATAAATGTTTTGCTATTCTTCCTAAGCATATGACAGAAATAAAAACAAGCTGGTTTCCTCTTCCCATAACACATGGTAGTTTGCTTGACCCCAAAACACATGATGCAAAAAAAAACAAAAAAAAAAAACAAAGAAAAACTTTGATTTTCCCTCAACTTGACCCCATTTTCAGTTTAAGAAAAATATAGATCCTTACCCAAGACAGGACCTTTAAACATCTGAGAAATGTGTTGTGCAGCTACAGCTGAAGCCTCTCTCTTTCTCTGCCCAGAATGGATGGTGTGGTACAGATTAACCAGACTCTAGATGCGTCTACGCCTAGAAGTGCTTGTATGGATGCAGTGTGTGTGTACGTGCATGTGTGTGTCAATATCCAGCTCAACAAACGTGCATGCTCCTCTCCAGGGAACTAGGTGAAGAGCCACTCAGCTCCCTTTGAACCTAAGGCCATATGGCTCACAGTATGGGTTCTTTGCTGCTCACGCTCAGAACCGTAGAAGGGACTAATGCGAGTAAGTTTGCAACAGGTCCGTTTCTGTCAATAATGCACATCTTGTTACACATCTGAAGAAACCGGTGCCACTCACCTCGCCGTCATGGTGCTGGCAGAAGCTCATCCGGCCCTGGAACAGAGACAGCAGTGCAAAGTTGTTCTGCAAGGACTGGGCGAGGGACACGGACACCCCCGGCTGGCCTGTGCCGCTGCTGATGGAGTTGACCCGGCTCAGGTGGAGGCTCTCCCCCAGGGGGTCGATGTAGTGGTCTTTGGTCAGCCGCACCCGCTGGTGCGCTCGCACGCAGTTGTCACAGAGGTACTCCTCGCAGTCGAGGCAGTGGGACGTGGCCGGGTTCTCCTCGTCGCAGGAGCTGCACTGAGGCTCCCCCATGTGCTGCACGTGCAGCAGGCCCCCGTGTGACGGGTGGAACCCGGACGAGCCCCCGATCAGGCCCCCGAGGTGATGGTGACCGTTCTTATTCTGCATCTGATCTTCCGAGCTCACCACCACGTCCAACAGGTTGCTGAAGAGGAAGTTGGAGGAAGGCAGGGAGTCCACTCCGGCCTCAGAGATGGAAACCTTCTGGTCGCAAGTGGGGCAACACAGCTTCAGAGGGTCGCTAGGGCTGCGCTGCCCCTCCAAACACTGCCTGCAGAAGGTGTGCAGGCAGGGCAGGACGTGGAGCTTCTTGGTGGCGTGGTTAGAGGAGACAGAGGTCTGCGAAGAGGAGGACGAGGTAGAAGAGTTGGAGGAGATGGGAGCGGAGGAGCCGCACAGCTCCTTACAGAGCGGACAGGTCTGCGGGTCAGAATCGGGGAAAGAAGCCATCTGCAGTAGAAACACAGCTCAGCTCACAACACATGCAGGGAAAAATTAGTTTCCCTGCACATCGGAGAATTTGTCAGCCAGTTAGACTGAAGAAACTGTGGCTTTTGAGGTAGATTCTTGAGTTATGTACAGTCAGTTCCACTGTGCTGATTAGTAAGTTTTGAATTTGATTTAAATAGTTCAATTAGAAGCAAAAAAGGGGGGCAGGTAATCAACTTTCACAATTAGACAGTTCTTTAGATATTAAAAAAAAAACTTCAGATCATCTCCCAGAAAAAAAAAAAAAAAAAAGAATGAGCAAAATTTATAAGAGTCCAGTTTTCCAATGAGAGTAAGATGACACCACACCAAGGACAATGTTGGTGCATAAAAAGTGTCCCCGTTGTTGAATTAACCCTAAAACTGGATGGCTGTTGAAGTCCAGGAAGCTAAATCTCTCCTCCCCCACCGACCAGGCAACATGACTTCAGGGCCACTCAGCAGCTCCTAGACTACAGCCACAGAAACCACGCCGCTCCCGTGTTTCCTGCTGCCCACTCTATGGAAAACCAGTTAAACCAGCTTGGCCTGGTCTCCTCCATTAGAGGTCCGTTCAGAAGGCGTCACGCGCGGCCGACGGTCGTTCGGTATTCTGAGCGCGAGCCTCGGAGACAGAGCACGTGAATTATTCATCAAAGCAGGGAGGTCGCAGCGTGCACCGGGTCACCGTCATATCAAAGAACAGCCACGGCGGCTCTCCCGAACAGCCAAAAACATGAGGCAGGACCCGCCGTCTAGCCCCCGGAGCCACCGCTGTGTGAATGCGGCTCCGTTCCCGTCCAGCCGTCGGCGAGTATTCCCCCCGTCTGGCACTGTGCGTGGAGGAATGCGCAGGGTTTCGCCCCCCCTCAACAAGACAGCAGAGAGAGAGAAAAAAACGGAGTAGCTAGCTCCGACGGCCCCCTAGTTACCTCGTTTTCTCGCTTGTTGTTGTTGTTTGCAACGAGGCGAATACACACACGTAAAACATAGCGTATGCCCTCTCATGGGCGCGTGTTGCACGGGCTGCAGCTCCTCCAGCCGCTTTTATCACACTGAGGGGAAAAATGGACTCACTTCCGTCCCGACGGTCAGAGGGGGGTGTGCCACAAGCTCGCTCCCGACGGTCAGAGGGGGGTGTGCCGCATGCTCGCTCCTGACGGCTAGAGGGGTGTGTGTGAGGCTGTGTGAGCTCGAGCTCGGTTAAGTTGGAAGACGTGCGTACGTGCACGGTTTTGTTGATAAAGTTGGCGGAAATGGTGAAGGACAATGGTCCTCTGTGTGGTCCCGCTTTGCCTGTCTATTTTTGCCGTGAAAAAAAAAACTAGCGAATTAATTCAGTTTAGTTCATGTTGTTATTTTTTATTATTATTGTGAGTTAGACAAAAAATAAACACGGTGCGGACTCAAATGTCTAATTTTATTTCATTCTACGAATAATTTACTTAAAATTACTGCTCTGTTGACGTTCATGGGTTCAAATCCTAGTCTGGAGTATTGAGGCTAGCATGTTAAATTAATTAACAAATTAACTCGTTTTACCCATTAAATAAACTGCATTAAAAATATGTTTCTATTGCTAAACAAAGTGTTTGGCTGGACACTAACAACTGAAAGGCTACAACAATGCTTATAGGCGTCATACAATCTCTGACATTAATCTGAGGAAAAATGCATACATACCTAAGAGCAAAGTCCAAATAACTAAACATACATATTTTTGGTCTCTGGGAGGAGGCTGCAGTACCTGGAGAGAATCCATACTTGCACAGGGAGAAAATGCTCCAGAATGAAAATTAGACCCAAGACTAAGAACTGCATTCCAACCTGAAATGGGATTATTCTTCCAGTGTTATCTACACTTAAGACCCTGTTTGTTTGCCCCTTTCTCTTTGTCAACAAAACCCCCCCAGAGGAAAATCCTTAAATCACATTCTGGTTGGGCTACAATTGACTACCAGAGAAAAAAATGTCAGCTTCTGAAAAGGATTAGCAGTAGTAAGGCAACTTTCCATCTGTGTTTTTCCGTAGAAACTAAACCTGGTCGAGTGTGGAGTACAGATGAATATTATCCACTTTAAGACCTAAAAGTGGATGTTACCACATGTTTTTATTCTATTTGTTCTGTGGTAGATTGTTTGTTTACAGGTACATGTAAATCGATGTTATGATTTTTGTGTTAAATAACTTTAAGCACTCATGTTCAGAAGAAATACGCCTCCAAAACAGCACAAGTGAGTTGTTTGAGAACATGTTTGTCAGAGAAAGACCCATTCATTTTTATATTTCTGGAAGCTGAGAATCATTTGCTTCGTTCCAGCATCTGCTGACTTCAGATAAATCCTGGCCATGTTAAAAATAAACTCGCAGGGTAAATCTAATTCTGCTGTTTGCGCTTCAATGGAATGCTTCAGCTTATCTCCCAACCATCTTGGATTTCCAAAGGATGCCATTTCATTAGCCATCATCTGATATTTTCCCCCTCATCGATCGATTCCTTCGTCCTACAGTTCTAAAAGCGACATTGTGCTGTAGAATTCATTTGCCAGCATTATTATGTTCTCCTAATGCAACATAAATTCAGAAAAAAAAGAACTCGGCCTCCGAATTTTGCTAAACTCCAAGAGAAGATACCACAAAGTAGAGCACAGTTCCAAAGCTTAAGGAAAATGATTCACTTTGTAGAACCAGGATTTGCCTAAATTAGGGCTGCAAGTCTTTTGGAGTATCTCTATATGCTTGTCACTTCTAGAAATGAAAATGTTTGTCCATTATTCTTTAGCTCAAGCTAAGTAAGCATCAGTTTTCAAGTCTCACAACCAATTCTCAATTGGATTTAGATCTGGACTTTAACTAAGCCATTCTAGGACATGTACTGATTTAAGTTGTCTCACTCCATCAGAGCTCAACCATTACAGTCATGGAGGCGACCCTTCATCCCAGTCTTCTTTCTTGCAATGTATTCAGCTCCACCCATCTTTTCGTCAACCCTGGTGAACAATAAAATCCCCACAGCCTGATGCTGCCGCTACCATGAGTATGGTGTGATTAGGGTGAACCAGTTCTCTGTTGCTTTTTCCAAAAGAATAAGCTTTTGGCATGTATGAGAGTTGTCCATCTGAAGGCATTCAGAGAGCAATAGTATTTATACTTAAATTAAACTGAAAGAAGCTGTTTGAATGCTATTTTGTGTTGTTGAATCAAAAAACAATCCAATTAAATACACTTCAGTTTCACTGAAAAACATTACTAGTGGGATTGTCTTATTAGACAAGAAACTGTCATGTAGCTTCACAACGTAAAACTGTGAAAAAATTGGCAATTGGAGGACTTTCAAGTGCAAACTTGTAGGTATCTAAATCGCCCAAAATCCCCAGTTTATTAAGTTATAATATGTTTTCATGAGTGAGATCATATGAGACATTCACCAAGCTGAATTTGATGACAGTAAGCTGGGTGAAAAGAGGATGAATGAGCTAAAAATACTAGGCCGCTCATGGATTTCTACACCGAAACACACACACACACACACACATACACTCACACACACTTCCGACGTGAATCTGTGCTGCTGCTTGTGTGACCTCCAAGAAAAGAAAGCCAGCATTATCCATTTACATGAAACAAACAAAAACATCAGTTCTGCAATGACACATCCAGGAACGTCGCTGCGAGAGAGGCAAAGGGAGACGAGGGGAGGATATGATTAAGATGGCACCGCTTAGAGACAGAAATCTGAAAACGCACAAACAGTTCAGTGTTATTGCGATTATCTCTGCCCCCGGATGACACGCACGGAGGCGCTGGTTCTGCCGCCGGCACGTAATCTGTCTGAATGGCTCCTTAAGAATGTTGGGATTCAGTAAGACTTAGAGCAGCATGTGAAGGTCTGCAGGGCTCATTTTTATTTATTTATTGTAGAGCAGCAGTCATCTCTGAGCTCATGACTGCCTCACTCAGGAGGATATTTGTAGGAAGTGTGAAATCACTCCCAATAAGACCAGTTTGCCTGTGGTGAGGGGAATTACCAGTTTCTACAGCGTTGTTGTGGGAACTGTAGGATAACTGGTGATGAAACCAATGAGGTGCTGAGAAATCAGACAGAGAAACTCCATTTTTACTCTGCGGGCAGCTCTGTACTGCCCCCTGGCGGCTATGAACTCCTATATAACCAAGAGCGGCAGCTGTCAATGCACTCTTTCAATAATGAACAATTTGACATTTTCAAACTTAATTACTGAAATAATGTATTTAGTAAACTGAAATACCAATAATCTAGCTGGTTTCCTGTAGGTTATGATTAATATTAATTAAAATATGAGTAATGTTACAAAAAATATTTATTTTGATCTGAACCACTCTATTGTAGCTCTGGGAATCTCAAGTCTTTTGCATTTTGAACACATTTTAGTCAAAAGTTTATTATGTAGTTCAACCCATTGACTATAACCAGCTTCCCTGTTGTAATTGTTGTGGCGTGTCCCCACGATATGATGCTGCCACCTCCATGTTCCACTGGAGTGAACATGGAGGCTACACAAAGTTTTGTAATCCTATGTGTGTGTGTGTGCTAAAACTGTGTATGTAGTCTCAGCCCACATACAAAACTAGGCTAAGGCATTCAGTTTTGGTCCAACCGGATCAAAGTACCTTCTTTCAACAGACTGAGCGTCTGTTGGTCCTTTAGAGCTTTTTGCCGACCGTTGCTCTTCCTGTCCAGCCTGTCAGTTCAGTCAGTCATGTCTCTGCAGGTTTACAGTTGTGATTTTTTTTTTTAAGTCCCTTGGATCCACTGAAAAATGTAAAATACAAAAGCTAATGAGTTTGATGGCAGATATGTTAATAACTTAGCAGGCATGCTATCTTATTATATAAAACCTCAAAAAAAAAGAAAAAAATGAAAGGAGGGAGAGGAAAGCAGTGAAGAAGGATAAGTAGGAAAGCAGGAAGGTGGGAGAAAGAAGCAAGGACATGATTAAGACAAAGACAGAAGAAGCTAAACCAAGAAAAAAATGAAAGGAGGAAATAAAGGAGGGCTACATTAAAAATGATGGAATAAGGAACAAAGTCTGGACATCAGAATATTTTCCATACTTTTCCTGCACTGGAAATCATGGAAGTCAAATTCCACACTCACCAGATTACTGATTTACTCACATTAAACTACAAACAGGTGCAGTCTGTCAACTATTTAACTTCTGAAGTCAACTGGATAAATTGGTTTCACATAGGAATATCATAACTTAAAGGCGCTGAATAAAAATAAGATTTGGTTCTGTTTTAAAGAAACCAATGAAGTTCATTGAAGTTCTGTGCTTATAAAGTGACAAAAGTTATCAATACTTTGGCAAGGCACCAGAGTTCAACTCAAACTTTTACACCTGACAGGGTAAATTGCATTTCAGATTAATACAAATATGAGGAATTTCAGTTTTATCAAAACAAAACAATACATCTTGTTGTATTGTCAAAAGCTAAATGCACCACAGGATTAATTTACATGTAAAACTTAAAAACACAAATAGTCTCTGGTGTGAACTCACCTGTGAGATCATGGGGAAGGAATTTTGACCCACTCGTCTTTATTAGTTTGACGTTGATGGCATTCTTTCAAAACAACTTGTTTTTTCCCCAAGCACTTCAGTCAGGCTGAGGTCAAAACTTTAGATGAGTTATCACAACTCGGTCCATGTTTAGACATTCAGATGCAACGTGATGTACAGAGAGTCCTGCTTTACAGAGGGAGTGATGATAAACCAAACGTGCTCAAATCATCACCCCTCCACTACCGTGTTGTTAAAAGATGCTTGTACTGACATGACGTTTGATTGTTTTCAAAGTAATGATCTTCTTCTAAAAAGAAATTGCATTTTATCTTGTTCAGGACAGTTTTAGAGTTCATGTCTTGTTCAGATGCAATTTTGTAAACTTAAGTCTGACTTTCTTTGGACAAATTTACCCACCAAGCCTCACCTCTTCGGTTATGACCTTTAACGTGCCAAGGCGTGTAAAGTCTGAGATGTAGCATTTCAGTCTGACACTGAGTTCAAACCCACTTTCAGGAGAACTGCAGAGCATATTTTCCTCAGACATACCTCACATCCTGCGTCATTAACAGAGGTCAAGACCCAACAGTTCAACTTTAACAAGTGGAGCTAAATTCAGGACAGCAAGGTTAGAATTAATCCATCCATTTTGATTATTTTATTTCATGTGAAGAATGTATTCTACAAATTAGGGCTGTAAATGTTAACGCATGCCATTAATCTATAAAATGC